AAACCCAAGGAGGGGTCGCTATGAGTCAGGGCTGACTCGATGGCACATAACAACAACAACAACAGGAGCTCTGGTAGCATAATGCCTAAGGCACTTGACTGCTAACCAGAAGGCTGGCGGTTCAAACCCACCAGTCACTCCTCGGAAGGAAGACGAGGCAATCTACTTCCATAGTGATACTGCCTTGGAAACCCAAGGGGGGGTTGCTATCAGTCAGGTCTGACTCGATGGCACATAACAACAACAACAATGCTTACAGATAGTCACTAGGTACACTGGTTCATTACATTTTTGGTAAATATATAAAGGGAAGGCAAAACATTTTCAACATACTCTTTTTTTGGATAAAAGACATTTTACTAAAAGTGTATCTACAAGACTCAAGCATTACAAATTTAACCTGGAAAATAAAAATAATGTTTAAATTATTTAGAACAGACATTTAATAATTGATGGTGAAATAAACCTACTCCTCATTCACCAACTACATTGTTAACTCACATCCTGCATTTGCAACAAGAGTAAAAAAAACCTACTATCTATTTTGTGAATTAATGACGTGCATCTAGCAGTAACCAATGTCAACATGCCAGGAGAAATAATGCTGTAATGGTTAAGGTTATGTGTTAACTTGGCTGGGCCATGATTCTCACTGGTTTGGCAGTTATGTAAGGATGAAATCTGTTAGTTATGTAATGACACAGTCATCCTCCATTTTGTCATCTGATGTGGTCATCCTCCATTGTCATGTAATGCCAATTTTTGGATAACAACCTGCTGATAAGTGAGAAATAGTTGTATAGCCATTTATTTTCTTCATGAACAATACTACTACTAAACCTAATGATTTGGAACTGACATTTAGATCAAAATACTCTTCCTTCTCCTATTCTTTTAAAAATACTTTATTTAGAGTATATTCAGTTTTAGTTTTTAATTAAAAAAGGAAACAGTATGAAAATGAAATTTAAAATAATTTGATTAAAGTTGTTAATAGATTCTACATTCTGAAAATAGTTTCTTTTTTATTTTGTACAACACATTTTTAAAAGATTATTCCAAATAAGTAGTACATGAAGTAGAAGGCGAACTTCCTTCATTCCTTCCCGATTCCATTTCTCAGATCAAATCTCCATTATCAGTTTGATATATGGATACACATTTTTCTATAAACGTATTTCATATGAACTTTTTTAGCCCTAGAAAATTCAGATTGGTATTATATGAGAGAACCACCCAAATGTTACCATAACAGTTTGTTATAAATACACTTCTTATATGGCTATAAATGCTCTCATTTTTACAACAAAGGGCAGTCTTCTTAAGAAAAAAAGGAAGAGAAGGATTTTCTATAAAGCTCATGTACAAGATCATCAGATCGATCTTGTGGTGAACAAGACTGTTGGAACAAATCATTTATGTGCTCCAAATATTTGAGAGATGTTCTCTGCAGGCACCGAAACACAGCCTGCCTACAAATTTCTAAGCTAATATACCTCTCTTCTGTCATTTTCCAGTAACCTCCAGCTTACCTGCAAGCTCCACACTCAAACGTCCCATTTCCTTCGTGACATTTTGGACTTCCAGGGATGCCTTCACTTTGGCATTCACATTCACAGATGAACTGAAGAATAATCTCTACTTCTTCAGTAAAGCCCAGAGGCTTAATTTTAATAGTTTCAGAATTCTTATTTGGACATTTATTTGAAGTTATGCTAATTTCAAATTGAACCTTACAAAAAAAGAAACATTATTAACTAAGCTGTTTACATGTACTAAGCAATATTTAAAAAAAAAAATACTAATTTTTAAAATATTTCTTAAAGTATAAACTAAACTGCTTACAGACCAGCATTTTTTTCTTTTCTTCAGAAATTGTCTATACAACATACCTCATCTCCAATAGAAATATTGGAGCATTTTCTTCCATTTTCCCCCGTTCCATTCACCCCATTTTTACAGTAAGATTTATAATTTATTGTTACTCCTTCTGGCAATTTGCTGTTTTCCAAAATAACTTCTGAGGAAAGAGACTAAAAAAAAAAAAAAAAAAAAAAAGACTAATTACATATAGGAAAGTCAAAGTAAAGGCTTTTGTAGAATAAGTTGACTGTATAAAGCCATGGGGTAAAATTAACTGTTAAGAAAAAATATAATTTAAGTATTTTCAAGCCAAATCCAGAAAAATAGGCTCTAATTAATAAGGACTGAATCTTAAAAGCTGTATACAATTGAAAAAGTAAGAGTATTTCTATTTTAATTATTGAGTTAAAATATTAATGATCACACAGCACAGAGCCCTGATATTAATTATAAGGAATCCTAAGACTCAGAACAAACCTGTTCTTTCCCCAGCAGGCAATACTAATACTAATTCTAATTTCTAATTAGAAACTAGGGCAAGCAATCTACTATGCAGTTTGTGAACAAATCTGCTTAGGAGCCACTGTAGCCCTGGTCCAAACAAAAACCACCCAGAAGTAGAAAGAAACTGGAGTCCAGGGTAGAGCAAAGTTTGATGCGCTTGGCTATTAATAGAGACCTTAGTGAAAACGCCTGGTAATCTGCTTTTGAAAACTCAGCCTTTGAAAACTGTGTGAAGCACAGTTCTTTGACACACATGGGGTCACCGTGGGTCAGAATCTACTTGATAGCAATGGATTTTAGGAAGGAATTAAGCCAAAGTGCTTATTCAGAATATCAGACCACTTGGAACAAAAAGGAGGCTACAGTGGCAATCCATTTTAGGTTCACACCCCTAACAAGCGTAGGAGTTAGCATAATAGTCTCAGGAGAGGGAGAAGAACTATGGGGAAGACACAGAAAAACCATAATCTTAAAAATTCTTGTAAAAGCTTCTCTCTCTCTCTGCATCAGGCCTTTCTAAACATTTTGGGACTCCCACTGCAAGAAGTAAAGAAATACCTAAAATTCAACCTGCCAGAGTTGGAGGTAGTGCAGTATGTAATACAAAAATGCCTTCAGAATATTTAAAATGAGTATTAACTAATATGTAATGGGTATGATTAAAGGTACCCTAACAAACCCTAGAAGGAGAAACAATTCCTCTTTAATTTCAATCAACTTCTGTATCTGGGGAAAAAAAAAATTTAAATCTTTTTTAAAATGAGTAAGTCATATATATATACATATATATGGTGTATGTGTATATGAGTGTGTGTGTACATATATCGATAATAATATTTCTGATTAGAATTGATAATCATATTTCTGCATACATAGCAAGAGAAAAATTGGCAAAAAAGCTTTCCCAGCACAATTCATCAAAATAAACAATTCTCTAAAGGATACTTTAGGGAGAAAAAAAGATTGAGGGAATCCTATTAATCTAAGTGTAAGTTATGCTTTGCATTTGCTATACAAGGAAACCTATCAATTCTTAAGTCAGAAACAGGCATTTAGAAATTTTCCTCAAACATCTTTATCATATGCTGCTTTAGTAAGACAATGTAACAATTTTTCTGAATTGTGAGCATTTGTGCTACTCTGTACATAAAAGGAGTTTTACTTTCTTGAACGAGTGTAGTCACAACAGGGTACTGTCCAAAACTGATCTCAATGAAAAATGTACTCACATTGTATGCGTCAATGATCAGCTGAATTACGTTGCTTGAATTTGCAGACAATGTTCCTACTGCTGACTTAGGAATCAAATTTTTCAGTTCCTGCAATTAAAAGATGAAACATATAAAATACTAATATTATTCATTCATTTATTCAACCAATTAGCACCTACCATGCATCTGATATTTATTTTCAAATATTTATTTCTATGCATTTTCCTAAATAGTAAGACCTGAAAAAAAATTAGTTTTATAGTAAGTAATTAAAAATTAGTATAAGCACAAACCTTTAGCTAGACTAACAAAGAAAAAAGGGGAAAGATGCAAATAGCCAAATAAGAAATAAAATGGGGAACTTACAATTCACCTGATAGAAATAAAGAGAATTATGACAGGATATTACGAGCAATTGTATGGTAACAAATTTGATAACCTAGATTAAATGGACAAATTCTTAAAAGCAGATAATCTACCCAAACTAACTCAAGAGGAAATACAAAGTCTCAACAGATCCATAACTAGTGAATCAGTGATCAAAAACCTCCCAACAACAAAAATATGTTCTCCACCAGATGGCTTCACTGGGGAATTCTACCAAATATTTGGAGAAGAACGGATATCAGTACTATTTAAGCTCTTCCAAAATATATAGAGAAAGAAGGAATATTCCCTAATTCATTCTATGAAGCAAATATAACCGATACCCAAAATCTATAAAGATAACCCAATAAAACTATAAGCCAGTATCTCTTAATTTAAATGCAGAAATCTTCAACAAAATACTTATAAACCAAATCCAACAGGATATTAAAAGAGTCCTAACACTAACACCATGACCAAGTGGGCTTATGCTAGGATTGCAAGGATGGATCAACATTAGAAAATCAAGGTCATATATCATATCAATACAACAAAGGAAAAGAACCACATGGTCTCTCTATGGATAAAAGCATTTGATAAAAACCCTAAAGAAGACTGGAATAGAAGGGAAATTCCTCAGTATGATTCAGGGCATATATGAAAAGGCAACACCCAATACTACACTTAATGGAAAAAGACTAAGAGCTTTCCCCTTGAATTGGTAACAAGATGACAAAGGTGGTTGATCTCACCACCTCAATTCAGTATTGTATTAGAAATCTTAGCCACAGCAATAAGACAAGAAAAGGAAATAAATGGTATCCACATAGGAAAAGAAGTAAAATTATTTCTATTCATGCATAATACAATATTACATATAGAAAATCCCAAATCCACAAGAAAGCTTCTAAAGCTAATAGAGGAATTTAGCAAAGGTGCAGGGTACAAAGTCAATAAACAAAACTCAATTGGGTTTCTATACACCAGGAATAAGAAATCTGAAAGGGAAATAAAGGAAACAATTCCATTTATAATAGCATTGAAAAGAATAAAACACCTAGGAATAAGTCTAACCAGGGATGAGAAAGGCAGTGAAAACTATAAAACATTGCTGTAAGTTTTCTATAAGAAGACTTAAATAAATGGAAAGATGTTCCACATTCATAGATTTGAAAACTTAATATTGCTAAGATATCAATATTACATAAAGCAATCTACAGATTTAACACAATACCCATCAAAATTCTAAGTCTTCTTTGACAGAAATAGAAAAGTTAGTCCTCAGTTTTAAATGGTGGAATGGCAAGAGGCACAAAATAGCTAAAGCAATGTTGAAAGAAAAAGTAGGAGGACTCACATTTCCTGATTTTAAATCATATATACAGCTACAGTAATCAAAACAGCCTGTGTATAACAGTAGACACAAGACCAATAAAATACAACTGAGAGTCTAGAAATAAACCCACGTATCTATAGTCAACTAATTTTTGACAAGGGTGCTAACTCTATTCAATGTGGAAAAAAAAATATACTCTTCAATAAAAGGTGTTGGGAAATTGGATTTCCACATGCAGAAAAATGAAATAGGACTCATGTCTTCTACCATACATGAAAACAAATTTAAGATGGGCAAACTAAAACTGTAAAATTCTTAGAAGAAAATTCTGGAAAATTCTGTCAAGCCTAGCTTTTAACAACAGATTATCTAATATAGTAACAAGAGCATAATAGCAAAAAACTAAATAAATACATGGGACGTCATAAAAGCTAAAAACTTTTCTTCATCGAAAGACTTTACCCCCCCCCCAAAAAAAAAAAAAAAAGACAAGCTACCAAATGGGAGAATATCTTTGCAAACCATATATCCAATAACAATCTAATAACCAAAATACATATAAAACTTTGCCAACTTAATAAAAGGACAAATAACCCAATCATAAAATGGGCCAAGAACTTGATTAGACATTTCACCAAAGAGGACTTTCATATACCCACGAAACACATCAAAAGATGTGTCAGCCATCAGAGAGATGGAAATCAAAACCACAATTAAATACCACTCCACTCCCACTGGGATGACCAAGAAAAAAAAAGAAGGAAAAAAAAAAACCTGAAAATAACGAATGTTGGCAAGGATGTAGGGAAAGCGGAACTCTTATCCATTGCTGGTGGGAATGCATACTGACATAGCCATTGTGGAAAACAGTGTGGCGGTTCCTAAAAAAATTGAAACTAGAACTACCATATGATCAAGCAATTCCACTCCTAGGTATACACCCAAAGGGCTTGAAAGCAGAGTCTCAAAGAGAGACTTGTACATCAATATTCACGGCAGCACAATAGCCAAAAAACGTAAATACATCATTTAGTGTTTCTGTTCTCTCTCTCAGTTCACTGCATAGTGCCTGGGGGTCTTAAAGGCTTCCAAAAGGCAACTCTTGCATGGAAAATGAATTTGCTCTGTAAACTTTCACCCAAATCACAATAAAAATTTACAAAAAAAAAAAAAAAAAAAAGGAAGATTAGGGGTAAAAAAAAAGCTCACAGAGGGCCATTCAAGGTACAAGTGGGCTCTGTTCACCTGGAGCAACAGAGAATGAAGCAAAGTCAGGAACAGGAGGAGGATATGGAATGTGTGGTTAATTGACGCCATGAACAACTGCCTCCTTTGTCATGAGACCAGGAGGACTGGATGGTACCACACTGATCATCTGATCAAAGATTCCATAGAAAAATCCTGATTAAATAGGGGAAAATGAAGAAGAGAATTTCAAATTCTCTGAGTCTCTAGACTTTCTGGAGCTATGAGAGCTTGATGAAATCATGAAACTACTGCCATGTGATAATATTTAAATTGTGAACCAAAAATATGCCCTGAAGTCTTCTTAAAGACTAACAATAGTCTGGGTTAATTAGTTAAAAAAAAAAAGGTCTTGAGCTTTACAGATTACTGGATCGAGTTGACAAAAAGCAACTCAGAAGAAGACCTTAGGGGACAGTGAGTTTATGGTAATGAAGGAAGAACAACTGAGAAAAGGAGAATGAGAACAGTTGCACAACTCAATGTAATCATTGTCACTAACCTGTATGTGTAGAAACTGCTGAATTGGTGTATTGTGCTGTGTATATTCACAACAACAAAATAAATAAAATTTACCAGGAAAAATTAATGTAAGCAACTTTTATAAAGTCCACTGTTACCTGGTAGCATTTTCCCACATTTCAAATCAGACATATGATCTTGCTTCTAATAAGTAACAAAAAGGTCTAGAAATACGTCCCTCTTTTAATCTCACACATATTTACCTTGTAAACAGGCTGAAATTCTTCAGTCACTGCAAAAATCGTCTGAATGTTATTTTCACTGAGTTTCTGGACAAGGTGAGCAATAGAAGGATAATCCTATGAAATTAAAAGAATTTGTTAGGTAACTACATCTTCCAATCTATTTCCAGTTTTTTAATATTTTAATTAAAATAATGATTTGCACATATAACTGGATTGCTTGCATAAGACTATCAAATGTATCAAAAAACTATATCAAAAAGAAGTATCAAATGGAGGTAATTGAAGTGAATACTGTACACATAGGTTTCTAATCCTCTTCTCTGGATTTTTTTTATAAAAAGACAAGAAAATTTCGACAATAAAGTTTTTAAAAAACACAATTACTTATATATAATAAATGTAAGACCAATAAAATTAAAGAATTCCCAATAATTACAACGTTTCTACTACTTAAGAAACAGACCAAGGTTCAACAAGTTTGGATTTTTTCTAAAACTAAAATAATTTCCGAGTCTTTATGTTCAATAAAGGCAGAGTGCCTACTTCTAAAAGCCGTAAGATAAAACAAGATATAAAGTGTAAGACCAAAGAGATTACTTGTTTAGAAATAATATCAATTTTTCCCACCTATGGTGTACACAAGTGAGAGGAAAAATAGCCCAGAGTTGAGGCATACGGTAAATGTGCTGCCTAACACCGCACCTTTTACCCCAGGGAGGCCCTTGTCTAAGTGGAAGGAAGCAGACACAAAACCGTATCTTTAGAAAGAGCAACACTAGCTTTTTAACACACTGGGTTAGGGCTATACTTATCAAAATAACAAAACCCCAAAGGCTGAAAAACCCACAAGCCAGTCCCACAATCCTCTAAATTTCAATAAAACCCAGTCAATATTTAAGAACTTTTTAAGCACTTACATAATAATGGCTCATTGTATACACATCATTCTCCAGGTGACACTGCCCATCATTTGGTAGAACAATGCCACCAAGTTTCCCATCTCCAGCAAAGTGAAACCCAGCATCCGTGGAAAACACTAGCAACCGTGTAACATTCCTCCAGCCAATCAATGACTTGGGAAGAAAAAGATTGCAATTTAAAATTACTACTCACAATACTTTGACAAAAATCATTCACCTTTCTCACAGGCTACCACTGCACTTTTAACCTAATCCTGTAAACTCTATCTTCTCTTTTCACAATGCTAATAATCTTGCTGATAAAAGCACAGAGCCTACTGAATGAAGTTCCTCCATGGCACTATATCTTAACTTGGTGTCCACTTCTCTCAGCTCTTTTTAAAAACTGTACCTTTAAAAATAATCAATGTGTCTTCCCCATTAAATTATAAGCTATCCATGTGAGCAGGGCCCACATCTGTTTTTGCTTATCATGGCATCAAGCATTGTACTTGGCACATGGTAAGTGATGTGAGCATTAACTGAATAACTAAGTGTCCAAGCCCACACCTTTCCTTTACCCCACTGCTGATTCCTTGCTCCTGTCCACCCTTCCTTCCATCCTTCCATCTACCCTTGTTCTATCTTCTATGCCATAAACCTCTTTTATTAACCCTCCATATTGGCTTTCCTTTTTTAATTACAGAAAAATTATTTTCTCCAAGAATTTGCCCTGCTTAATCACACCTATTTTAACTCATCAGTATGGTTTATGTTTGTTTGTTAATTTTATCCTCTACTTTATTCTACAAAGAGTTTAAGGTAGCAGTAAAATTCCTGAAATACCTCTTCTCTATAGTAAGTATGTAATTATATTTGTCTAAATCTATTCAATACCAAAAAAACCAAACCAAATTCACTGCTGTTGAATCGAATCTGACTCCTAACAACCTCTCTTGGGGTTTCCAAGGCGGTATCTCTATGGAAGTAGATTGCCCAATCTTCCTTCTGAATAGTTGCTGGTGGGTTTGAACTGCCAGCCATCTGGTTAGCCGTCAAATGCCTTAGGCACTACACCACCAGAGCTCCTAAATCTACTCAATACATCTGCCTATTCCCTTATAAGACTGTAAATTCCTTGAAGGCAGGAACTACTGCTTATTAATGTGTACTATCTTTCAAAAGTGCAATGTCTATCTATTTTGCATTTAGAGGAGTAGGTAGAAGAATCCTCCCAGTTAGCATAATAAACATAGAAAGGTAGCAGCGGGGATTGGGTGCCATGGCTTGCTTTGATCCCATAGGCTGAGTCAGTGAGCTGATCTCATTAGTGAGCTGCTAATAGGCTCACAAAGAATGACTAGAAAGAAATAGAGGTGTTAAACTAGATATTCCCAGGAATACTACTCTTTCTTCAGCTTTAAAAACAAAGATTAACCTTAAACTTCAACTGGGAAGAAGTCAAAAGTAATAAAAATATTAATTTAAAAAAACCAATTGCCATTGAGTCGATTATGATTCATAACGACCCCTTCTTGGGTTGCCAAGGCGGTATCTCTATGGAAGTAGATTGCCCAATCTTCCTTCCGAGGAGGGGTTGGTGGGTTTGAACTGCCAGCCATCTGGTTAGCAGTCAAATGCCTTAGGCACTACACCACTAGAGCTCCCAATGATAATGTAGTAGTCAGTATTTGCTGAGTGCTTTTTGATACTTTATCTGAATCATTGCATTAAACTCCACAATAGCCCTATGAGAAAAGCCCTTCCTCCAGAAGAGGAAACAGTCCTAGAGAGGCTAAGTAAATTGCCTAGAATCAGTGAGGATTTGAATCTACATCTGAAGGGTCTAAACCTGTTCACTTAACTACTATCCATACTGATTCACTTACTATCTGGGATATCTGATAGCAACTTGGCAAAAATCAGTTAACAACCCCTCAAGAGGCACCTGGAATCAAGGAAGGTCTTCTAAGGAATAGAAGTACTATAAGGGAAAAAGGGGAGGGGAGAATGAGAGTAATAATGCACTTAAGACAAATTTTATCGACTTCACAATGTTAGTCAGCCTCAGCTCTATCACTGAAAAGTCACCTAGAAATCCTGGTAAATGGGTCAGAAAATGCTAACTGCTGGTCTAATACAGATGAGCTGGCTACTACTTGGGAAACTTGCAGTCAAAACTATAAATGTATGACTTCTCATATACAGGTTATAAATTAGGACTTAAAATTCTCTCATTCTGTATTACTAAGAGACATGGGAAAGTTTTACCCCCTTTTCAAAGACTATGTATGAGCAGACAAAGATGACCAAAAGAAAATCATATCTGAGCCACTACTCCACAAACCCTTTCCAGTTTCTGATGATACCTCAGAGACCATCTCCGGTACAAAGTCAGAAAGTCAGGTCACCACATTGACCCACTATTTCAAATGATGACCAGTGTAGCTTTTAAAACCCTATATAAATGAATTAACGACATGGTTTAAACAGAGACATAATGATTATATTGTGGTAGTCAAATTTGTGTGTCAATTTGGCTGGGCCTGGTTGAGTGGCTGGGTGGCTGGTGGTAGTTATTCCCCATGAGACTAGCAATCAACTCCATGGTGGGATCTACCACAAGCAGCTGAGTAGCTGCTTTAGGGATGTGGTCTGCTTCCTGCATATAAGGAGCAGCTTTAGGAATGGTCTCCAGCTTATGGCACGCTTGGACCCTGCATGTAGCCATGTCGTTCAGCACCCTGTCATGCTCTGCCAACCTTGGAACTTAAACAGACTTGAATTAATGGCCTGCCATGTGGTTTGATGACATCGGGACTATGCCATTTTATTTGTTGACCTTGGGCTTGTTAGCCTCAGCAGCCAGTAGCTGCCTGAATGAAGAGATGCCTCTAGCTTCAGTGGGCCAGAAGCAAGAGGCAGAGCTAAACTCCAAGGTCGAGGGGCTTTCACCCAGCCCCTAGAGCCTGGCACTTGGAACTCAGACTTCTAGCCTCCTGAGCTATAAGAGAAAAAACTCCTGTTTGTTAAGGCCATCCCATTTGTGGTACATTCTTGTCAGAGCGGCAATAGAGCTTTTATAGAGCACCTGTAGTTATGAAAACATTTAAGGGTTTAAAATCTATACATCTCTGGGATAACCAAGCAGTATATGAGAAATAAAGTCATTTTTTTCTCCTACTGTTATTTGTTGTTGTTAGCTACTGTCCAGTTGTCCCCAGACTTACAGCAACCCTATGTGCAACAGGATCAGACTGCTAGGAACCACAGTGGTGGCTGAGTTGTAGAATTCCTACTTTCCATTAGGAAGACCCATGACAGGACATCTCATCCCCAGCCACCACCTTGTCAGTGGAAGCTTGCATGTTGCTAAGACCCTGACAGGTTTCAGTGGAACTTCCAAACTAAGATGGACTAGGAAAAAAATCCTATCTCCTAATAGTGATCTACTTCTAAAAATCAGACAATGATAACCCCATGATTCTCTTTTATTCCCAATGATAGTAAAACTATGCTTAAGATTTACACAAACAAGACTACCTTGCAGAAAATGAATGCACTTACTCCACAAACTGCAACTTGCATGATTGCATCAAAGCCACCTTCTGGAGAATCCAAATTTCCAGATATGCGTTGTTTACCAACAAGTTCATTAAATACTTCCCCTTTATCAGTAAGACTAAGTACATTTTTGTAGCTAAAGGGGCTGGTGCAGTTCTGTTCACTTGTGCAAGGATTCCTGAGTTTAGCTGGTGTTGTACTAATGTAAGGCATCACAGTTTTCTCCACAAATGAGCCAAACCCTGTGAAGGAAAAATGCATATATATGTGTATATAAATACACATATATAAATATAAACTTGCAGTGTAATAAAATCAAGTATGAAGTCAATCTTTTACTTTTGTCTATCAACTTCAAAAATAACTCAGATTCCTTTACCTACCATACTAGCTCTCAGAAACTGCCTGCTAAGTGAGTAAGTGAATGAATGAAAGGGCAGAACAAATGAATGAATAAATGTTTATTCTGAAATTTTGACCACTTCAAAAAGACTAATTTAATAAGAACACACCATACCACTTCCATTGCACTTAAATTATGCTTACTGAATAAAAAAAGCATTTGAAGCAAATGAGATTCTATTTGTTAATGTTCCCACTGAAACAGCTAATTTTTGAAAGGTAGTTTTGTCCCTAAGAAGATTGCCACGTTTTTCCAATATTTTGTTTTTAAACTTCTGCTGGCCCAGGAATGGAAAAAAGAAGTCAGAAAAGAGGTTAATTTGAAGATGCATGAAATATGGAGACTACAGTTTGAAAAGGAGATCACTGTAAAATGGAAGATCCAGGTCTGAAGTGAGATCTGGTTGTACAGAAAGTGTGGTCACATTAAGTAGCAGTGAAATAAATGTCAGTGCACAACATGTTTATAAAATAAATCAGCAGATGTGTGAATGAATTCCCATGGAAAAAAGCACATATTCATTATCTACATGATTTACTCTTATCTCAAGAAAGACAGTATGACAGAAGGAAGAACAGATAAAGATGCAGAAAAATTAGCAAGCTGTGTGACAAAAATATCAATTTCCTCTCAGAAAGAAGCTAAACACTAGCCTATTGACCTCACAAGTATGTTATGAACAACAAAGGGGAAAAATATAAAAAGACTTTGAGAACTGTCAAGCCTTCAACAAATGCAAATTATTAATTTTCCCAATATTCCTACCAATTCTGAAGTCTGAAGTAATCCTCTTCATTTTATTCATCAGATCTGTTCCAAGACTTTTTACATTCTCCAAATCATCTTTCATTGAGTAAGAGAGGTCCATAAGGTAGTAGAGATCAATGGGATAGTCTTCAGCTCTCTTGAATTTTAATGTAAACATCTGTGGCTCCCCTAATTAAACAGAAATGAGAAAATAACATGACCTTGTCAATAATCAAAAGCAAATGAGAAAAACCAAATGACTCAGATTTACATGGCAAACATCATGTTTTAAATGTCATTATTATTTACAAAAAAACTGGGAACTCCACAAATAACTCTAATGCACCCACTCAATTTCACTCAACAAATACTTGCCATACTAGACTATGGGATACAAAGGTGAAAAAGACAGAATCCTCAATTCAGAGTGGGCAGAAAAAATAAACAATCAGCATGTAACTATGACAGAGGACAGCAAAAAGACTGAACACTATATATTAGACTGAGGTGGGCAAGATGGGTGCATAGCAGGTATACCTGGTTTTTGAGATGAAGTTACAAGTAAGGACTCTGTTCTCCTTGCAGTGAGAAGCCACTATATGCAAGAAAATTAACATGATCATATTTTTTATTTTAGATAAGCTAGCAAAAAGTTCTAGAAATGGTTTATAGAGTTACAAAACTACAGCAAAAATTCAAAAGACGAAGATGTGAACTGAAACAAGGAGGGAAGAGATACACGAGATGTTAGGTATAACTCAGGAAATACAGAAGAAAGAGAAGGTTTGAGAAGAAAATGATTAAACTTTCAATGTGTCATTTTTCTCTATATAGATTGCCAGCAGATCAATAGGTTTGGAGCTTAGGAGAAAAGTCTGTGTTACAGATACAGATGTGTGAGTCATCAACATGCTGTTTTTAAAGCCATGAAGAAAAAACAACATTAAAGAGGACTACAGAAATGGGGAATAAAAAAAGACACATAAAGGAGACTAGAAAGCAAAGGTGAGATAAGAAGAAAAACTAAGTGATATCATGGAAACCAAAAGAACATTTCAAGAAATTCAGAGAGTCACTTGAAACAGAAAGGTCAGGGGGAAAAAAAGACTCTAATAAAGATCTATGTAAGACTGGTGGTCCCAAGGTGATGGTGAAGCATTGCCAGAAAAGGTTTAGCAGTATGCAATGGTTAATTTTATGTGTCAACTTGGTGAGGCTATGCTGCCCAGCTATTTGGTCAAACACTAGTCTAGATTCTGTCATGAAGTAATTACATGTAATTAAATCAGATGGCCTTAAATACTGCAGGTGCCCTTTATAATGGTGGCAGACATCATCCAATCAGCTGAAAGCCTTAAGAGCAAAGCAGGACTTTTCCCTAGGGTTGCCTGCAGACTATAGACATTAATGCCAGAACTCTTCCACTCTTTGCTCTTCCCATCCTCTGATCTACGGAATTTGGGACAAAAGACTGCAGGCATCCAGCCTGCTGTGTGACTTTTGGAATTGCCATCCCCCATCACCACCGTAATCACATGAGCTAACTCCTTTACAGATAGACAGACAGATACAGATATGTATCTCTATGTGTCACTGATTCTATTTCTCTCGAGATCCCTAACTAGGACTGAGGAAACTCTGACTGCACTGTGCCGAAGAATGGATGGGAAGTGACAACATGAAGACAAAGAGTGCACACCATTCATCTCAGGAGCTGAAACAAAGAAGAGAGGAGATGGAAACCACAAATGACAGAAAGAAGGGTTTTTTTTGCCCCCCTCTTATAAAGATGAGAGATTGCCATTGCTACTTACAAAAACCTTAATATTTTACCAATTCTAAGCAAATACAAAGCAGAAGAATACATTAAAACATTGTCTTTATTTTATATTAAGTGATCATACCAGAGGATGGATACATTACTCATTAAATCTAATTAATACTTTCTGAATCTTTGACAGAATTCACTTTGGATGTTAGATAATATTTAATATTATTCCACATATTCATGACACAAATTGTTATATCCACAGAGAACTAAACTTTAAGCTGTTCTCTGTTTTAGAGTGTCAGTGCACAAATGAAAATGAGAAGAGACTTATATAAACTCATATCAAAAAATTCAAGAAGAAATCAAAGTGTCAACAGGGTTAGATTTCTGCACCTGATCGTAACTGCAAAACCAACTGCTGTGGCTGGATCTGAGTAATATCTTCTGGTTGGAGCTTCTCTGCTGTTCCTTTACTACGATTTGTTACATTTTTATTTTTCTTTATATCTTTGGAGCCTCTGGGATTTTCTATGTCATCTGGATGACAACCCTTCTTTTTTAAGGCTTCTAAATCATCACATCGGGCAGAGGTAGGCATTCCTTCTTGTAAAAATGTCTAGATGACATATAAAAAATAAGTATATATTAAAAAAACGTACAATGGTCAAATTTTTACATAACCCTAATTTCAAAACGGGAGCTCTGGTAGCATAGTGGCTAAGACACTTGCCTGCTAACCAGACGGCTGGCGGTTCAAACCCACCAGCCACTCCTCGGAAGGAAGGTT